CTGGTGGCGCTAGCGGGCTGTGCTACCGACAATCCGCCCTCGACCGTGCTGACTACGACCGCCACGACGCCCGACGGCGATATGCTAGAGAGTAGTAGTAGCCCAATCGATGACGGAAAGCCCGGACCAGGACCAGGACTGGGACGAGACCCGGATGGATCGCCACCACTCCTAGGCATCGATATCACCTGCCCCTTTGAACCTTCGCGGGGGACCTCAAACCGCATAAGCACTCCCGCCCAATTCAACGAGTGGGTGGACATCTTCGCCGAGGTTTTCTCCACGGCCGAGGTGGACGATATGAAATCTTACGTGCCGCCTCGATCACTACCGGTAGGAGAAGCAGCGGGGATAGCGGCAAAGCTTCGCTATTTCTACACCTTCTGGGCTCTGAAGGAAGCTTACATCAAGATGACGGGGGAAGCTTTGCTGGCGAGGTGGTTGAGGGAATTGGAGTTTCGGGATGTAAGGGTCCCTGCTGTGGCGGAGGAGGGGCGCTGGGGGGTGGTTGAGAGTGGAGTGCAGGTTTGGATGCAGGGAAGGAGGATAGAGGGCTTGAGGGTTGAGGTTGTTGGGTTTGGGAGCGAGTATATTGTGGCGCTGGTAGGGAGGGGGCTTCATGGAAACGGGGATGGAGGTGGAGACAGGGATAGGAAGGGGGGACTATTGTTAGGAGAGGGGATGAGGGAGGTGGATATTGAGGGCTATCTTAGGGATTGCGCTGGTGAAAGGTGTGGGTGCTTGGAGAAAGGGGACCGGTGAGTTTGGACTATCAGTGTTGGAGTGGACGGTATGTGGCCGTGAAATCGATTTAATAACATGATGCCGAAGCACAAGAGCAGGCCAGAGGAGGTTATGTTATTGGGTAACCGCATTAAGCAATGTCATGATCAGGTCAAGCTATTCAGAACGCTATCGAGGAAGAATATTCCTGGACTCTAGAGCCGCATTGATGATTTTCATCCTAGAAAAAGATGGACCATCACATCTTCTCAGCCGTGGCCATGAGAGAGCCTGAAAAAGTCAGTATACCGTGTGAGGACCGCCCGCCAGAAGGTTTGTAGCTCACCAATAAAAGTCGTCACCAATCTCGACCGCACCTGGCAGATGTCTTCTGGCACCAGCCAGATGGTCGCTCCCAATTTTCGTGCAATAGAGATACTCAACTTGGCATTCGCATATGCGTCTTCGTCACTCTTGCCGGGCGTCACGAGATCGTAGTCGACGTATGAGCTCTTCATACCGTTCAGCACGTCAAGCAGGAAGACACCTGTTCCGATCGCCGGGTCCTTGAACGATCGAATACTTGAATTCTTGCCACCCTTTCGGCTCATATCGTTTGCCCACTTGATCATCTCAGGATCCGTCATTTCACGCTTACCAAGACGTTGTGCCAAGGCTGATAGGGTATTTGTGATGTCTTTTCTCATCAGTTGCCAAACAAGCCCCAGCGTTAGCGTTCTTTGGCCGTCAGTAATGTCAGCACCTTGAATGCCAACCAGTGAGAAGCGGTTCTGCTTTCCAAGCTCAATTGCATAGTTTGTATTCTCGACAGCTTTGAAGCGTGACATTTCGCCACCGTTGGGCGGTGGCTTGTTAACGTGCCGCCAATTTACGCTTCCAGGAATGACTTTGTCGTAAGCTTGCAGAAGAATGGAACCGTCTCGAAGGTCGTCAAAGAGAGAGTTGATCGTTGGCTGAACATCAAGAGAGTTAAGCCACAGGGTAAATACACGCGCTTCTCGCTCTCCTTCTGCGTCGAAGTCCTCAATGTCGAGCTTGTCTTCCTCGGTCAGAGGCTCGAGACCAGGATGTGTATTGAAAAGGTTAGCAACAAAAGCAAGATTCAGTTTAGGGTTTCCTGCGACAAGGGACGTTGGAGTAAGGAATTTGCGGCAGTCGAGTTTCTCGGCATTCGTAAGCACCTGTTCAGCACGCTGCAATAGATCTTGGGTCTGTAAGGGGCTGCGAGAGCAGTTTTCAGGGGATAACTGATTCAGGAGAACGGTATAGTTCTCGCCATCCTTGACATCGTTCGAGAAATTGTTGACTCTCCTGTCCCACTTCGCATTCTTGAGATGATAATTGAACCATCGAAGTAGGATTTGCTCAGGTGGTAGGCGTAGAAATTGCTCAAGAGTCTCATCTTCCTCCAGCAATCTGTAGAGCTCAGGATGTAGCTTGATATCAATCTTGCCAAGAAGGCCTCTGCGGATAATCTGCCAGATTAGACCTAGGATCAGATGCTCTCTTACCGCCATGATGTCCTCGCTGCCAATGTTGACAACGGAGCACCCGATTCCTTTGGCCGAGTTAATAACAATATTGTTGTTCTCGGTCATATGGAAAGCATTTAGTGACTTGATCTTCTTGCCAACTCGGTTCAGCACGCGTTCGTCAATTGTGTCTGGTACACTATCATTGATGAGCTTGGCCAGAACGAGTCCATCTTTGCAACGATCAAACATCTCGAAAGTATCAGTTGGGAAGGGAAGGAGATCTCCAATATCGGGATCACCGGCCAAGACAGCATTGATGTGTCTGGTGAACTCTGTGCGTTCGTCCTCGTTAATAGTATGTGTGACATTTGCCGAGGAGCCTTGGACATGTATCCGCCCTCCAGCACCTCCTCCTAAGCTACCTTTCGAAGCATGGCCAGGTGCGGGTGCGCTCGCATTTTGCCCTCCCAGAGCAGCATGCTTGGCCGGACCGGCAGACACGCGCTGCTGTGCAGAATCTCGTACCTTGGAAATAAGCTGGTATCGCATGTCAGAGAGTGAGTTTGTGTTTGACTTTCGAAAGAGCAGCTCACGTCTACATAGTCCTCTAATTCCACGCGCCTTGAGCTATCCAGCTCCACTTCCTTCAGCGCTTGTCGTACAACATCATAAGATTGTCTTTCAGATTGCTGCGTGGCTTTGATCACAGTCGCCTCGTCCAGGTAACCCTTATCCTCGACATCGAGTTTGCGAAAGGCATCTTGTAAACTGAATATCTCGTTCTGTGGGAATTGAGGATATTTCCTGGAGCAAAGGCTCAGTCAACGGGCTTCCTAGAGTAGAAAGTATAGCATAGTACGCTACCCTTCACGCACCTTTGAAGCTTGAGCACATTCATCTTGAACAGCACATGTGGGATGGGATCGGGAATGGTGGGGCACTGAGACGTGCTGCACTACTACAGCACTTGGGAGTCTAACAACGGAATATATGGATCAGAGGAGCAACTCATGAGGTGGACGAGTCGATATATCCCTTGGAATGCAGAGAATGCGTCTGCCTATTCCAGGCGCACTTTTGACAGATCTCAAGGAAAAGGGTGACGCAGCAAGTTGTGGGCGAGGACGGGGGCCGGAGGGCCGGAGGCTGAGCCGTGGACGGGATGAGGCGCTGCGTCGCAAGCTTTCTGCAACACAAATGGGGGGTTCACAACCACGAAATTTGGACGACGCAAAAACGTGACACTAGAAGTGAACAAGTGGTCTGTATGCCTCACCATGCTATGTATGGCAAAGCACAATCACAGTTGAACGTAATAGACATGTTTCGCAGCGAATGCGTGGTGCAAAGCTCCTACCTCATCGTCCATGTCAAGTGATTCTGCACATAGCATGTGCTTATTTACTCTGCTTTGAGTCTGCATACTCGGTGATGTGAAAGTGGCTCGTCTTCCATTATTTGCCCGGTTTATCCGGAGGAAGATGGCTTCTACAGACCCCAAGAGCTCCTTTTTGGGCTCAATCTCTCCTTGGAATGTCTCTCGAGTGACAACACCAAAGCCCAAGGAAGACAACCCAGATGCAAAGCGTAGGGAAGAACATCTAAGGAAGTCAAGCGGTCAAGACCATACACACAGCAACCGACCTCTGCCCAGTCCGAGACGCTATCCCGCTGACTGCCCTCCGCTGAAATCAAGATGGTTCTACGCTGTCGATGTGCCCAAAAGAAAGCCACTTTCTGGCGAGCAGAGTGCTGATGGAGAGAGCAAGCCAGCTCCTGTTCCAAAGAAATTTACTGCATTCTCCGCTAGTGACTCAGCTTCGATTGAAACTGCTTTCCAAAAACTTGCAGATCCAGACCCAAGCCCCAATAATGCTGGTGATCACGCTTCGCCCAAGGTAACTAGGGTACCTGTCAACGAAGACTATCTTTTTGACGTAGTCATCGAAAAGCGTGAGCTTGAACCAGCGTATTGGCTTGGTCCGGTGTATGAGGTTCGGCGTGGTAGCTGGTTCTTTCCTGAAGGCTCAGGTCTCAGACCATGCGACGAGAATCTTGCAAATCAACTGGAAGAGGGTTATCTGAAGATAGCTCCATGGCGCCAGACTGCAGGAGCCTCGAATCGATCGTCCAGCCAGCCGCGTTCCCGACCGGCTTCTATGCTAGTAGAGAGCACTAAACAGTCCTCTAGCAGGTCTGAAAGTACATCTCCTGTCACCAGAGGCTCACCTCAACTACTGCCCGCAGACTCAGGCAAGGTTGATCAAGCTCCAAACAGCTATCGCCTGTTCGGCACACACATGAATACGACCGTCTCATATCAGGATAAAAACACAGCATGGCTTGTGACCGATGATTTCATGTCTCGAATGAGCAGCACGCTGGTAGGATACGGCAGATTTGGTGGGTTCTCCGGTACCAAAGTTGTGCGAGGCTTTTCTCAAGCAAGTGAAACAAAGACGGTTGACGGGGCCCGAGGGTCTGAGGTTGACACAGCGGCTGCCGAGCGCAGGTCCCTCCCTGCTGAGACCTTATCAAAGATGGGTAACGAGAGAGACAAAGCCCTGGAGAAGGAAGAAGAAACCGCTGTACCTCCAAGGAGAAGTGCTCTGGAACGTCAGTTATCTTCATTGGCAGGAGCACCAGGCAACGAGAGTTCTGAGGACCTGGCGGAGGAAGCTCGCCAACAGGAAGAAAAAGAAATGGAGGATTACAAAGAGACTGATGGCGATGACCAAGGACGTTCAATTGAACATCTTGTGCTTGTGACCCATGGCATTGGGCAGAGGCTTGGATTGCGACTTGACAGCATCAATTTCATCCATGATGTGAACACATTGAGAAAGACAATGAAGGCCGTCTATGCTAATGCTCCTGATCTGCAAGCTTTGAATTCTCCACTCAAGGATGCAAGGACTAACAGCCGCGTGATATGTCTTCCGATAGTATGGCGTCACCTACTCGACTTCCCCAAGCAGAGCGTCAGACAGAACAAGCAAGAATTTGATCTCGCTGATGCGGAGGCAATAGATGAGGACGATTACCCAAGCCTGTCTGATATCACAGTTGATGGGGTACCGAGCGTGCGCAATCTCATAACAGACCTGGCAATGGATGTTCTTCTGTACCAATCAGCATACCGAGAGCATATTGCTGGGATCGTACAGCGAGAGTGTAACAGGGTGTACAACCTATTCAAAGAGCGCAATCCAGATTTCTCTGGCCGAGTGAGTCTTTGCGGGCATTCCCTAGGTAGCGCTATCGTCTTCGACATCCTCTGCCGTCAGAGAGACGCCGCGAATGTTCGTTCCCACAATCTTAACAAGACCTCGACAGATATAGAGCGTGAGAAAGGGAATCTCCAGCTTGATTTCATCTGCGAGAATTTCTTCGCTCTCGGCTCACCAATTGCTCTATTTCAGATGTTGAAAGGAAGAACCATTGCAGCTCGTCGCCGTAATGACGATAGTAAGCCTACACATAGTCCCTTCGATTCTGACCCAGAGAGCTTGTTTGCGAACGATTCGAAGTATACACACCAACAGAAGAGCGTTATTCCTATCAGCGTCTCATCTCCAAAATGCGACCAGCTCTTCAACATATTCCACCCCACAGATCCAATATCGTACCGTATCGAACCATTGATCTCCCCTGCTATGGCAGCTCTAAAACCTCAACTGCTCCCCTACACCAAGAAAGGACTGTTCGGAACACCTGGAATAGCAAATATCGGTGCTCTTGTGGGGCAGTCAGTGGGATCGATGTGGTCCAACTTTACCTCTGGGGTGGCATCCAGTCTTCTGAACCGCAGTCTTGGCATCACTGGCGAAGAGCAGGCTCTTTCTCAGGACAACAAGTTTCACGGCAACCTCGACAAAAAGAGCCAGCAGCAGATTCAACCTGGAACTCAGATGCCTATAGCTGATAGCAAGCGTCAACAGGCTTTGGCTGATGCTACCTTGTCTGAGCCATTGTCTGACCATTTGCCAACACTCATTGACTCGGATATGGAAACGCTGTATGCTGGCTTTCAGAAGAGGCGCCTATCACAGAAATCAAGTGACACGAACCCGCTTGAGGCCCAATCCGATGAAGCTGAAGAGAAAGCCAAGAAATTCAGACGCGAGGAGGCTAAGGTCAGGGCTTTGAATGGAAATGGTAGAGTCGATTACAGTATCCAGGAAGGTACTTTTGACATCAGTCTGCTGGCAAGCATTGCAAGTCACTTAAGCTACTGGGCCGATGAAGATGTGAATCATTTCATGGTTGGGCAGATGCTTTCAAGGAGCCGGAAGGAGGAATAGATTATAGAATTAGTATCAAGCATTTCTCAATGTGTGGCATATCAATCGTTCACTCCACGTACGCTCCTCGGGTCAGCAATACTCTGTGCAGGTATAGATGGGCAAAGGTGTAGGTGACTAAATAGAGCACGAGATGCTAACAGACCTTGTTGTATGTGAGCTGGAAGAGGATGGTGTAGAACGGAGCTCTGAACTGGATTAATCCGCTCAAGAGAAGGGCTCTTCTCCTTCTAAGTTGGGTGGCGTGACCTCAGAAAAGCACCCTGCTAGAAATCTCTGAACTGCTGGCTGACCTATGAAGCAAGTCTGCAATGCAGAATGCTATGAAAGGATGCACATAGCGCGGAGTATCATGACGTGGGTTCAACACTCTGGATTGTTGCAGGCATCCAGGAGCAGATTCCTGACCGTGGTCTGCCAGCCCTCTCATGAGGGATGATGTCCACTTTGTATAATTGGAACTCATTGCCAGGGATGATGTGCTGTTCCACTGGCCTCCCCTATACTAGTAGCTCATGAGATCTGCGTTGGTAGCTTCCCCTAGGCACTGTGGATAGGCTTCAAGAGTCAGAATTAAGCTGGCGGCTCTGCTGCTGCCAGCGTCTAGCGGCTAGCGGTTCCTGTCAAGCGGTATTTCCCATTAGCCAGGTACCATCTCATTGCGGGGGTAACGCACGGGCCACCATCCAGGCTTGATATTTTTTGAACAACTCCAAAACAACATTGTGAATTCTTAGCATGCTCTCTTTTTGTTCAGACAAAGTCATTTTGCTCCTCTGAATCAACCTAATGAGCCGAAATACATTCTGGTTGGGATTGAAGACAGGAAAGTAGAGAGTACTGAGATCAGGTTAGTACATGTTTTTGGCAAAGTTCTGCACGCCCACTGACCAGATTTGAGTGCTGGGGCTACCACGGCGTAAGTCCCAGAAATTCTTTTATCCTTGTTCGAACAGTGTATCCATCGCTTCTGGAGGCAGGCGGAAATTTTGCTTGCTCAACAAGATATCATGGTCTGCATGCTGTACTGGATCTTGTTTCCCGCCCTTCACTACCTTGTGGTGTCAAACCGCAAGGCCTGCTGATCTTGCCTGTGCTCAACTGCAACGAAGAAAGCACAAAGCTCAGACAAGCTAGGACGGAGTTGAGCGTTCCATGTCTGCGTCACTTGTTGCAATCTGCACTGTGGCTATTATAGTCGTCTGAGAAGAAGAGTCCGCCCAATTTCACTTGGCTTGCCATATTGAGCGATTATCAGCTTGTGTATCGAGAAACTAAACAGTGAATGCGTCCTGGGTCAGGGACTAACCTTGTTCGTAAATTAGGTCGACTTGAGTGTCCGGGGTGCATGTTTGGGTGGGTGTAAGGTATGTCGTCCAGCAGCCCGCTTTCAGGCTCCGCTTTTATGTCTACAACACTTTATTCATTCAACCTTCTGCCACATCACATCATCTGACATTCAACACAACTATCCCTTACCATCATGGCTGATAAGCCTGGCTCTACAGGTGGAAGGCTGCTGAAGGCCACGGAACGAAATCAAGGAGAACAACTACCTCGCCATCCGGGCTTCGAAGCAGGCAAGAACTCCAAATTCGATTCTTCACGTTCTTCAAGTACCTCTAGAGCTACTGCAAAACCTCAAGAAGCATTTGATCAGCAAACTTTTGATCTCGGTGAATACCGTCCAGTAAGTTGCTACTCCTTCCTCAGGTACATTGTACTCTGCTGACCGAACTACCAGTGGGGAAACCCGCTTACTTGGAAACGAAGAATATTACAGCCCGCACCCCTGAACGTATGCACAAAGTCGTATAAGAGCTTCAGTTTGGCCGACACCATGCCTCTGGAAGAGTTCAATACCCAGGCTACACAACCATACACCGATCCAAGACGTTTGGGGTTACATGGCTCTGGTATCAGTGAGGAAGACGCTGCTGACGTGATCTGTATTCTGCACCCAAGCACGCCCGCGGCAAATGAGGCAGTGGAAGCTACCTTGAAGCATAATCCGAACCACATTATTCCCAATGCCGACCTGATAGACAAGAATGACGATGCACTATTCGATCCTGCCGCCAAAGTCGACCCCTTGAATAGAGAAATAGCTCTACGAATCTCGTCTCATGTCAAGAAGTCAGACTCGGGCTTCGTTTTTGGGCGAAATCCAGATAAGTCAGACATACTGCTGACAACAGATCGGAACGATACCATGGTAAGCAATCGCCATTTCCGAATCTACTGTAGCAAAGATGGAGTCCTGATGCTTGAGGACAACTCAACAAATGGCACCGTTGTGGATGACCATCACCTGTATTGGAAGAAAAGCAAGGAAACAGACGAATCCTCTAGCATGCTGCAGAATGGAGCTCTCATCTATATTGTTGGTCATGACGGAAAACAAATCAAATTCCTTGTGCGAATCCCGAACCGTGGAGATCAACAAGGGGCGTACAATGCAAATCTGGCAAGATATGTTAGTAACATGCCAGGTCCAAAATCAAAAATCGTGCTGTCTCCGGCTGAGCATCCATACGGCATGGTGTGGAATGGAGGCTCAATATACAATGTTATCGGATGCTTAGGCAAAGGCGCCTTCGCTACAGTCTACAAGCTGGCTACCAAGAAAGATGGCCACGTCTATGCAGCCAAAGAACTCGATCAGAGAAGATTTCGCAAAGCTGGTATTTCGGATATCAAAATCGACAACGAAATCCAAATCATGAAAGACCTTCGACATCCCAACATTGTCCAGTACGAAGATTATCATGTTCACGAGGACCATGCCTACATCATAATGGAGCTTATCACCGGCGGAGAGCTTGCTACATATATGCTCAAGAACGGGCCTGTGGCGGAACCAATGGTACAGACCATCACCCGTCAGATGCTGCACGCACTAGCATATCTACATGGTCGTGGTATTACGCACCGTGACATAAAGCCAGACAACATTTTGATCTCAGAGATGGATCCGCTGCATGTCAAACTATCTGATTTCGGCCTATCCAAATGCATCACAAATAATGAGACATTTCTGAAAACCTTCTGCGGCACCTTGCTGTACTGCGCACCGGAGATATATCCAGGTTACGGAGAATACGATAAGGGGGGAACGAAGAAGCGAGCCCGATCTGGAGACCCATCATCGAAGAGGTATAGTGACCGGGTCGACATGTGGTCATTTGGAGCCGTGCTGTTCCACGTTTTGTGCAACAAAGCACCCGTCATCACTGACAGCGAGAACACCAATAAAGCAGCTCAGATGCTCTCCAACATCATGACCCAAGATATTAACTTCGACCCTCTGTATGCTGTCGGCGTCTCGGAGGAGGCCGTTGATTTCGTCTCCTGTTTGCTTAAACGCAACCCGTCTTTGCGCCCGACCCCCAAAGCTTGCTTTGCACATGCTTGGATTGCGGAAGAGGCTGACTTGATTGACTACATGAACTTGGATGACGAGATGCCGGCCTACCGTGGTCAGGGGCTCGCTACCGTCGAAGAGGCAGACGAGGATTTGCTTAGCCCATCTAACAATGCAGCGTACGATCAAGTCTTTGGTGCGACAGGTGGCCTTTCTTTTGGGTACCTCAATCATGCAGGCGAGAGGGTGTCCAAGAGACAACGTTTCACCCTTAAAGGCAAGACCAAAGTTACAGCACCACCTTCTAGTGATATTGCATACCCAGAGCTCCCACAAGTGTCGAATTCAACCACTTCGCCAGTGAATGCTCGAGGTGAACGACTATTTGGCGAAATCACGTCATCTGCATTACGAAGCTCTGGTGTTTTTGCTGGAGCAACACCTCCCGTGAGCGTACCTGCCCTGCAGCAGGAGGTTGAGCGAATCAGTGTCAATGACTTTGTCACTTTTGAAACCAGTGTGCCCCCTCCGAGTACCGGTGAAACTTCTGCACAACCGCTTCAATACCCACGAACGCTTGCCATTCCTGGAGCGCTACCGAGCTCAGCTCCCAGCTTACTTGGTGCGGAGGCGCAGATTCGCCAGCTCAATATGGCTTCTCCAGAATCTGGGCATTCTGAAGGGACCACACCAGAAGCAGCCAATCCGATGACGCCGGAGACACGAGAAATGACGCCAGGGCTCACCCAACAAGAGAAGAGCGATACCACAACATCTCAGCAAGAAGCGGCTCCTCAACCTTCGGAAGAGCCAGTATTCAGCCGTTACATTGATCTCAAAGTTCCGGAGAGTCTTGCACATGACACTGAATTTGTGGAAGCATTCAACGCCAGACAAGCTGAGGCCAAAGAACGACGAGCTAGATTGGCCAAAGCGAAAGCGGCCAAAGCGAACACCTTCTCTGAAATAGAGCGAACGTCGCAGGAAACAGAGGAACTTGCGAAGACGATGGACGTGCGTGCCAGCAAGAAAGCTGGCTCCGGCGGAAGCAGTTCCCAGAAGACAAAACAACTGTTCTCCCGACGAACCGATCATTCGCCTCGTGAGTCATTGTACCCAACATCGAGAACTACACCTGACGGTTTTACCAAACCTTATCGCCGGTTCGGCAAACTCACCACGGTACCCGGCTCCTTTACCGATCAGACTATTTACATCAACTCTCGGATGACGTCCTGGGGTCGTGGGATTTCTTGCAATGTCCGGTATGAAGACACAACCGATGTCCGAATCCCACAGTACGCCATCCAAATCACGTACCATGCGCCGGATATGGAAACGCGAATTAAGAAAGAGCAACCGTGGGAGAACGCGCCTGGCATTCATACAGTTGTATCGACCGGAGCGTCTCACTGCATCTGGGTAAATGATGTTGAGCTGCGGAAGGAATCCAGTAAGGAAAAGTGCAGGTATTACGGCAAGATCTATACTGGGGATATTATCACAGTTTTCCAGAGTGCAGATCCCAAGGGTCCATTCCTGAAATTCAAAGTCGAGATGAACTACGGAGACAGCGCAAGGCAACGACCAGAGAAGGAGAAAGGGTTTCAGGTATTGAAGGAGTTTAGGCACCACAGGAGGGAAATGGAACGCAGAGAAAGCGAGAAGTCCAAAAGCAAGGAAACGATTGTATCTGATTCTGCACAGAAGACTACTTGATGCCGTAAGAGGCGATGGGCAGGTATTGTGGTGGCTTATGGACCAGGAGAGATAAGCGATGTCTTATGGCTGCATATTGGGGGGGTGAGAACAGGTCGTCGTCAACTTTAGTTGAGCGATGCACAATAAGGTGGGGCAATCCCTACTTTGCTACTGGTGGATGAGCTTGAGAACGGGTGGAGCATATGCAGCGTTGTCAGTGAGTAAATCATTCTCAAGTGCACAAGCACCAGAACTGGATAGGCATTCTCAATATGATGACTTATCCCAATCCCAATTTCCCTTCAGTGAAGTATCCGAAAAATCAGAGCAGGGTCTTGTCGGCCATCTCTATGGCCCAGCTGCATCCTCGTCCCAAGTCCCGGAGGGAGGGCTGGAGGGCTGCACAATCTGGGTAAGTTTAAGGGTGGTTAGTGATGTACAGAGTAGATTTGGTGGTGTGGTAAACCATGCAAGACCCTTATGGCTTATGAAGCTAAGCATTTTGGCGTGCCGCACCCCCTACATAATTATCCAGCCTTTAATGACAATCACAACTCTGGAGCTGGGCGGGCAATAACTACATCACGCCTTATTTGTTCAATTAAGTCTTACTTTCCTCTGGAATTGCATGTAAACGCTTCTCGCGACAACAACAGGAAGCAACTGGCAGTCTTTCATGTCCGCTCGCGAACAGTCTACACCTTGAGATAGATCTGCAAATACCCTTTGGGACGCCTTGGCAGGAACGGAAATTCAAGACACTTATCTTCTTCAGCTGACATCCAATGTGCTGCTGTGCCAGACGTCGACTGAGGCTTGCAGTTTAGCAGAAGCTGCACACCTCTTATCTCCTTGAAGACCGATCTGAGTCGTACTGGCGGCCTTTATCAAACAGACCCATTCCCATTCCCATGCCCGGCGCCGCTCCATCAGTCGCAATTCACCATTCGGACATTCTCCCCATCCAGCACCCTCTCTAGAGGAGCATAAACGCTTAGGGGCCACGTCCGGGCTTCCGGCGTTGGCCTCTCCACGACCAGTCCCTGCCATACCAGGCACTCCCTTCCAAACACCTCCAATGTCCCTATCTAGATCGCCTTCTCCTCAACAGGGCGGGGGATGGTCTACCCCTGGGCTGACGGATGCCTCAGACTATGACACACCACGGCGGAGAGACTATGGCGATTTGAATGGGTCCGCGTTAAATGACACTGCCTGGGCAGCTGCCAAAGCTAAGAGTCAACGAGTTCGTAATACGCCCAGTTTCACCACAAGGAATGAAGGCTTTTTCTCAAGACAAAAGAGGAAGATATCAGCAACGCTGCCAAGATTCAACAGCTTCACTTCAGATCAGAAAGATTGGAATGCAGAGAAACTGGGAAGGGGTCGGTGGAGACCTGTTGGTTATGGGAAATGGTCAAGGGTCAGAACATTGGTCGGGAACATACTTAGGAAGTTCAAACTTTTCATTGCTATGATGGTCATAATAGCCCTGACAACTGTTCTGTGGTCCAAAAGCAGTAAGTACTTGAAGAGAAAGCAAAGGCAGGCTTCAAAGCTGACAATTCACGCAGATATGACGTCCCGTTATAGACGAGCAGCACATTTTGGCGGCGGGTCAAAGTTTGTCATGATCCTAGCAGCAAACCAAGGAGGTGGCGTTATGGAGTGGAAAGGACCCCGAGAGTGGGCTATCGAAAGAGACAGCGTCAGAAATAAGAAACAATATGCCGCCAAATGGGGCTATGAGCTAGAGATTGTGGATATGAGCACCAAGAAACGCTATGCGCACGAGTGGAGGGAGAGCTGGGAGAAAGTAGACACGATCCGCAACTGTCTGCGGAAGTATCCTGATGCTGAGTGGTGAGTTTACATGATACATCCATCAAGCAATATTTGCTCACACGAAGGCAAGGTTTTGGTGGCTTGATCTGAACACTTTCATTATGGAGCCCTCCTATTCCTTGCAAACACACATCTTTAATAACCTCGCAGACAACACCTATCGTGACATTAATGTCTACAATCCTCTAAAGATCACACACCCTCCTGTGGGTGATTTTCTGGACCCTGAAACTCTTTCTCCAGTGGGAGACAACAAGTCAGAGAGTATTAACCTCGTCGTACCCCAGGATTGTTCTGGCTTCACCCTGGGCACATTCTTCATACGCCGCTCCCAGTGGACCGATCGTCTATTGGATATTTGGTGGGACCCTGTCTGCTACGAGCAGAAGCATATGGAATGGGAGCACAAGGAGCAAGACGCTCTGGAGCATCTTTACACAAATCAACCGTGGATCAGACCTCATACAGCATTTATCTCACAAAGGAAAGTCAACTCTTATCCACCTGGTGCTTGTGGAGGTGATGATGGTAATCTCGACAGGAGATTCCACTACCACGAGGAAGATCGTGATTTCATGGTAAATATGGCCGGATGCGAATGGGGAAGAGATTGCTGGGCCGAGATATACAACTTTCGCGAACTGAGCAACAAGCTGAACAGGAGCCGGTGGGAAAAGTTTAAGGACAGCATCTCAGATCGATGGAAGAAGTTTAAGGAGTCTTTGATCAAAAAGGCTGATGCACCGAAAGAAGACGCAGAGAAGCATGGTTGATTGATGGGCGGCGCAGATGCCCTTTTCTGGTTTCGGAGCAGCGCGCATGACGAGTGCTGGGCGTTGAGGCGCATCTTGAGACATCTGCTAAGGCCACGGCTGCAGGTAGCATGCTTTGAATCGCGTTCAAGCGGCATACATGAGTTGGGGTTGGGACGGAAGGCAGCTACCAGGCCAGAATACAAGGGTCGATTTCGGATGCATGTGGCCGCCTGAATTGTCGTTGGCACATTGAGCTTGTACTTTATGCCATTGCAGAGATACCATTCTACTGAACGATAGCCGTTGAAGGTTTGGAGATTTGGCTATGCTCTTTAGCTCTTTAGCTCAGGGAACATTTCTCTGATGTAGAGCCCTCCGTACATTGTGGCCTTCGCTTCGCTGGAGGAAACGATAGCTTCTCATCACGTGATTCTCTGAAGGTGTCCTCCCGCTTATGGCTAAGTCATGAGTTCCCCACCTCATTTAGAACCTGATCACGTCTTTCCACTGAAAAGCCTTCCTAGGATGCACCTTGAACAGCATGCCATTGATACGTTTTCATGCTTCTTCATATCAGCAACTGGTCCTCACTCCACTTAGCAGTCATTCACGACGGTCCCATGCTTGCTCCTCGTTCGCTTGTTCGACCCATCTGCATGTGGTGTGGCAGTATTTCTCTCGGCATCAATTTGCGCTTCTGCTCTCCTTCCCGTCTCCCTGCCTGGTTCTCCGGGCCCATGTTCCTCGTTTCGCTTTCCTTTTCTTCGACTCTTTCTCCGTTGATTTCTTTCTCTCCTCTTCATGACCGATTGACATGATCAGGCCCTCGAGGTCGAGGGCGCTGCCCGAGCAGTTGTCCCTGTCGAATTGACGACTTTCGATCTGCACGTCTTGCATGGGGTTTTGCATCGTGAGTTCGCCAATGACGAAGTTGCATCTCTTTTTTCTCTGTGAATTCGTAGTCACTATTATGGGGTGCCATGTCTCACGAGCCGGCTTTGACGCGTGTCTGAATGGAGGCATTTCTCGAGATGAAGATTGCGCACCTGTTTCGAGCTATCAGTTGGGCCAGATTACAGATGCTGCTCGGAAAATATGCTCGGACTGTTCTTACTCGCCTTGGGAGCAAGGTGAAATGGCTGACCACGTCACAATACACTATCACGGCCGAAGAAAATCGACAAGAGCACACATTGACCTGCGAAGCGCTGCTAAAGGTAAATTTCTACGAGAGCTCTGCTTGAACTTTAGGCAACTCATCGTTTCTTCTACTAACTAATACTGCTACCATGGTGCCAGCTACGACACTTCAGACCAGCTCGTAGATAACCTTGTTTCCTCAATTAGGTACAGACTGCATCTCCTGCTTCTGGTCTTCAACAAGCTTCTCGAGTTCTCCTCTTCGCTTCAACCTCGAAGCCAAGTTGTGTTCTTCCGCCATTGCCCGCTTTCTGTTCCCTTCAGCTGTTCCCGAAAGGTTAGGGAAGACCTTCCCTCCACTGCGGCCCTGCAGTTCTTCGCGTTGGGTGTAGAAGTTGAGGATCAACTTGCGAGCTAGAGAGTGCATGAAAATGGATCTTTCATCAAGCTGGTAAGAAAACAAAAACTGCCGAACCGCATAAAATTGTGCTCTGTAAGAACGGAACAACCCGTTAGGAGGTCGTCGTGAAACAGATTCTAGCAGCGACAAACATCTGCGTTGTTGGGATATTGCTACGCTGTAGAGCACGGTGATGTTCGCAAGGAGTTTGTCGCACAGTTCCTGTTCCTTGCTTCCGAGTATTGCTAGGAACTGAAGTAGGCCTTTGCCGCCTTTCACTTCTGGCTCATGAGGAACCATTTGATGCAGAAGAGGTATGGTGATACTGTCCCGAATGGTGTTGCTATTCCCGTCCGCCTCCTGCTGCTGTTCAGTCTTACCAGTATTTGGGGTTGAGGGCTGAGCTGTGGTGCTTGGGCGAGCAGCAACTCCATTGGATCCTGTATTTTCTTTCTCTATTTCTCCAAGCTAGTGAAGAGACGAGGCTATACCAGCGGTTTTCCGGCGAGGTCTTGCTTCCAGTTTGCAATTTCATCATCCTTCCCTTGAGCCTGCTTCCCCAGATTCCTGACCTTACTCTCCATTTGTGCACAGGCATCCTTAAGCTTCTGGCTTTCCTTTCTCAGGGCAGCTTGCTCGTGAGAAAGGACTGCTGTCAAGGAGGAAAGCGACATTTTCAGACGGTCATTTTCCTCGGTCAAGTCTTTCGCTTGCTGCAAAGACGTCTGATATGCCACCGCTCGATCTGCGAGGTAGTCCTTAAGCTTTGCATATTCTTTCAGCAGCGCTTCATGTCGAGATCGTTCACTTTCCTGCTCGTGAAAGAGCTCGTTGATTTTGCTGATAGCTTCCTGTTGCTTTGCCTTCAGCTCACTTTGCACTGGAGCCATTCATATGTCAGTAGCTTGTGTAGTGTCTGCCATAGATTTTGTCTCAGGAGTGTAGCCAAGCTGAATGGACGAGCAGGTCGTGTAGCGCTCAGATGCTGTGAAGTGGTGGTGAGGGACAAGACGGTTCTCCCAATTCTGAGGAACTCAAAGGTTTGTGAACTACAAAAGAGGTGCAAGTTCAAGTAGGGTATAGTTTGAACTCTCTGGCCCGGGTATGCTGGGTAGTTACGTTCATTCATTGAAGTGAGAAGAACACAACAGGCGCAAAGGTGAGGGCTAATACGCTTGCCGCAAGAACTCGAACTCAATGATTCGAATATGGACCACCAATTCAGTCCCATCTAACCAAATGGCATCAGAATCTTACCTAATCTCTGTCTCCTCCGGATGGTGTCTTGCACATTCAAGGACTTCCAGTTTCGACCAAGCTCTTGCATATGTCTCTAACTGCTACCAGCTGAAAGATGGATGAATCGCAAAGATTGAGGCCGAGACTGTGAATGGAGCAACAGAGTACTCAAAGCTGCGAAGCCGAATGGTATCTCTCTTGTCCACGCCGCCGGCCGCCCGCCGCCAATGGGTTACAGCATTCCGAGTGCACTGTCATACGAGTGCCCATAAATCTGCTTCCCCTGATCCCCTTCTCAACCCAGAAACAGAACCAGTAGGGAGCACAGGGTTGTCTGTACTATTCCCGAAGCGCCCTATCCACCACATTCACCATACAAGCTTTCTCCACACGCACCGGCCCCATCCCAAGTAGAAGCACACATCCCACATCTATGACCCAATTCCTGCCCTCCTGATCCCAAAGGCCTCAATACCCTTCTCAAACACACCCAGTGGCACTCCACACTCCGCCTAGAAACCCATCCGTTGCAGAATCATCCCTCCACATCAAATCCTTCACTCTCGGCACACTTGGCAAAAAGTGAGGTCTCTTCATCCTGGAAGCCTCTCTTCGCACCAGATGTCATACGTCAATGAATCCCGTGGACAGCCATGAACCTTTCACTTCGGGTTAAACCACCGTGTGGTTGCATATTCTGCTGAAATTTTGATGGACGGTTTGGGGGTTAATCAGAACTAGGTGGGGATAGGATGATGGGGTCTTAGGATGCATGAGGAGGGTGGTAGGTCGTTGGAGAATACTTATGATGCGGTTTTATGGTGGGCGGCGGTGGCGTTGTGGACGGCTGCAATAAAAAAAAGGGGGAAGAAGCTTGGCATTGATCGGATTCTTTAAGGAAGCTATTAACTTAGGGGGATACCCGTGATGGAGGCCTCTAGGTGAACACGACTTCGCTGGAGATGGCAGTTCAGGGTGACTTGGAGTAGCTCTATAATGATAGGTATTATGAAAAAAGACATTGCAATCTATCTCGCACTATGTAGAAAGGCACCACAAAAGCCAGTAACGCCTCAAAACATCATTTCATGACCACATTTCAACCCACAGACCTTCGTGCATCATCCTCTGATCCATCTCCTAAAACCCATCAGGAACCGGCTGAAAACACCTCTCCACCGCCCTCCTCAGCCGTTCCGTCCACTCCTGGCCCGCTGTCCCCTCAACAGTAGGCTCCGAAGACGCGTCTGAAGCAGGGTAGACGGATTCTTCTGATGGCGACAAAGACGACGAAGAGCCGTCATGGCCCAGGCGCCCTCCGGTATGATGACGTGGCCGCTTGGAACGGTGAGAAGGCCGGCCGTTCTGTTCGGCGGTGCGGGGGGGTTCGATCGGTCCATTGAAGGCGGCTGGGCGGTCACGCTTGCGTGTTGATGTTGCTCGCGTGGTGGGGAGGTCGTGGGTAGGATGATGACGACGGGGGAGTAGAGGGGAGGATGAGGATGAAGAAGAAGAAGAAGAAGAAGAAGAAGAGAGGGAGGAAATAGGGGAGGAGGAGATTGAGAGGGCGGGAGAGGGGAGGATCAGAGGCGAGATTGGCGGGTGCCCTGCCACGTCTTCCT